AACAAATTTTAATTTGTGGGCACAGAGGTCTCAGAGATCTAAAAATGGCCAAAGCAGTCAGCTTTTATACCTTTTAGACAAAGAAAGAGTACATTTGTGAGAAATTGACAAGTCAAAGAAACTTAGGTTTGGGGTACGCAATTAAAGAAGAATCTGAACAGAGCTTGGGCTTGGGGTAGTGAATTAAAGAGGCAGCCAGGTTTGCTCACATAGCCTGCTTGTGCCTGAGTCTCCTGTCTCGGGGGAGGAGCGCCCTTCTTCCTCCTGATGCAGGGGGTGCACCTTTCACGTGGGAGATTCCCTTCCTTGCTCAGGCAGACAAGGATGAGGCTCACGGTGTCTCTCTTGCATCAGCTGTTTCTTAAGTAACTTTAATTCAAAATAATATGTCATTGAGGCGTATTTTGGAGCTGCCTGTCCTGGCCCAACAACAGATAAAGAAGATAATCCTCAGAGAGGCAAGATAGATAGATGGGGATGAAGACAGATGTATAAAGAATTAGAGGCAATTGTAATGGCATTTAAGCCCCTAGTTTGAGGCAGTCTCTCACATTAACTGTGGGATCTGGCACTATCTCTGCTTTCAGGAAGCAGCCCCCAAATGAGGAGGTAAACCAAGAAAGGAAAAGGCATGGCGTGTAGAAAACAAGATTCAACACCGAAGGGATGAAGGTAAGCTACAACGTAGTAAAAGTGATTGATAGTTATTAACGTACTAATATACATGCTTTATATAGACTATGAGTATTTTTATTAACCTCCACAATCCTCACTTAATAATGTAAGGCATGTGTCCTCATTTGATGATCATTTTACAGCTTAAGAAATTGAAGCATAAAACGGTCAAGTCACTGTACCGGGGCTGGACAAGGAATAAGGGAAAGGACCAGGATTTAAACCCATACAGCCTGGTTTCACGATTGTAACCATTCAATAGGCTTTTCCCTGCCTCCTATTATACTCATCCAATCAAAATTCTGATACAAGTATATTTAGAAAATAAGGGGCACAAGGAATGTTCGGATGTGTTGTGGTCACAAAGGTAAGGACGGTTGTGAAAAGGGCTACGTTTTTATCTTCCGTGATGACAAGTCCATAGATAGTGCTCCGACCTGAAAGTAAAAATCAAGAGTAGCAGCACATGCACAGTATTTGGAGAATTACAGATTTTTAAAAAATCCGCTAAAATGGAGGGATTATGTGTGCGTGTGCGTACATAAAAGATGCCACTTTTCTTCAGGAGCCTTGGAGAGCGATTTGACTTTTTCAGGTATGAATGTATGCATTTGATTTAAAGGAATACAAATTAAATTAAAAAAAACAAGAGCAGGGAAGATTTTTCAGTTTGGTGTTTGAAGTCTGAAGCTCAGTCACTCCACTCTCTGCTAATTACATCACTCCTCTGCAATTCGGCCTCCGGAGCTGACAAAAGGGAGCACGTGGTTTGGAGAATTAAACAGTGCCCTGTTGCGCTGCAGGCATCCACAGGGCTATGATTACTTACTGATTATTTGACGTCTGATGAGCTTTTGTCCCCTTTGAATTGGATTTGCATTTATTGACTTTGGGCCTTACTGAGTTTGGATTTACATCCCTTGAGGGGAGGAGGGGCAGAGAGTAATCAAATTTACCAGCCTTGGTAATCAGTATTAACGTTGGAGGGGAGAGCAGGTCCTAAATCCAGTGCCAGAGGGTGTGCCAGAGACACTCAGCATAGGCAAGTTTGATATGCAAACTGGGGCTCAGGAAAGGTCCGACACTCAGAACATCAGTGTCATTTGTGAAACAAGGACACTGAGAGCCAAAGGGCAACATGAACAGTTGAAGGATGAGTGCTCTCCGGAGGCAGACACGCAGGGAAGAGGCGTTACATTTAGTCTGCCGTACTTCCTAACTTTCCTATCACCGTGCTTTTATGAAAGAAATTGGAATTTTGTCTTTGGGGTAGTTAACAGCCTGTCTTCTACACCTCACTTCCTTATTCATCCTCCAGTGGCAACCAAGGCCTCTCACAAGTGACGTGGTCTCTCTTCCCGCTTCAAAAACTTTCAGTAGCTTTCACACAGTGCCGGAGAAAGACCAAACCGCTCAAGCCCATGGGTAATGCTTTCCGTAAAAAGATGCCAACCTGTCTTTTCAAATTGACTTATTTCTATCACTCTTGGAATTTTTAACATCCTCCATGATTCACATTCTCATGTCTCCTTTCTTTGCTCATAGGCAGAAAACGCACTTACAATGTGCATTCGATGTTTAAAATGTTATGTCCCTTCAGACTTCAACTCAGACTCGACCCCTTTCAAGACACCCTTTCCAAACTCTAAAGTTATGGGGAATTTGGAGGTGGGAAATACTGCAATTCTGGCTTCACCGAGGTGGAGGGGCCAACAGGACACCAGCCAACATTATTCAGACACAGCATGTAAGGTATTTTCCACAGTTGAAGGCTCGATGTATCTTGTGCAATCCATAAATCACTGAAACTGTTTTCCCAGCCAGCCTGTCTAAGGACAGACTTCCCACCCTGGCAGGAACTGCCTTCCCGCCAATCTACTCACCCAAAGAAAAGAAAACAAAACTTACTGTTTCCAAGACTTTGCAGTTTTTCTCCCTTGGCTCATAAATGTGTTGTATAGATACCATCTTTGCTTTATTTCCAGGCTCTCATACACAGATAAACTCCTCATGTGTTAACTGATCAGACCCACTGATAAAGCTCTGACCGGCCACCCCTACAAGGCCGGGTCAGCAAGGTTCTTTGTCCAGCTCCTGACCTAGCCTTGGACCAGAAACAAGGCGCTGCAAGGTATCCCATACTGTTCTCTTTGCCTCCAAACCAGAAACAGAAAGTCATCAGAGCCCAGTCTATCTTCTCTCAGACCCACTGTTCCCCAGAAAGGAGGGCCCGTATCATCCTTGTGTAAATTGGTAGATGCCCACCTCTCAGGACCAGGAGCTCCATGCTGTCAGAGTCATGGCCTCCCGTTCTGGAGACACGGACACGTCCTTTCAGATGCTGACACCGCACTGGACACAGCCCTGATGGTAGGAGTTTCAGTTTGGGCAAGTAAAAAGTGATTTAAAAAAATGTGTCCCCCGCCAAGTATAATCACCCCAGGAAACCAAATGGAAGTGTAGCGAATGGATAGTGTGCACGTGACCTCCGGGCTGCAGGAGGTTTATATACACTTGTGTCATTTGGACTGAGAAAGAGGTGGGAGAGAATCTTCACTGCTTAAAATAGACCTTCTAAGTCTAGAACAATGGTGCAAAAGTCGTATTTCCTTACCATTTGGTTATTTTTTTCAGTTTGCGCCTAGCTTAGAGTTCTGCCGAAAAGAAGAAATAATTGTCGTTGAGTTCATTCCCATCACCCTCCACCTGGCCCCTGGTTCATTTTCAAGCTCTCATCACCTTTCACTAGGATTTTTACAATAGGCTCCTGGCTGCCAGGAAGACCCACCATCTTCATATTTCAGCTCAGACCTCAGACTTTTCACCGGTGTCTTTATAAAATTTGGATCACGTTATGGAACTCTTCCGCTAAGAAACTTGCATCACTTTGGTCTTCAAGTTCAGTGTCCGAATTACTCAGCATGAGGCTCAACAATGTGATGCTTGTCTCGTTCAGCTTACACAATCCCTTCTTTTTATTTACAATGCATAATTCATCCTAAACTACTATATACTAAAGGGAAGAAACTAGTAGAAAGTGGACAATTAGGGAATAAGCAGGAGGAAGGAGGATGCAGAGTTGATGATCTCGTTTGTACCCATATATATAAATATACATTTTTACTTGATGGCTTCCAAACTCTTGTCCTCCTATCCAGACCCCGGAGTCCCAGATGGGCAAATCCAACAATCTCTGTGCAATTTCCAGTGGCTTATTTTATAACCAGTACAAAGGTCCTATATGGATTTTTTTCCCTCACAAATTGAGAATTTTCTTCTTCAATCTCAGGGACGATGAGTTTCCTCCTCAGCACATTTGAACTTTCCTCGCTGCTTCCGTGTAGTAGACCTTGATCTCAGAGGAACTTGGTTTCTATTTTGCCACCAAATGCCTTTCCTCCATTTTAGAAATCGTTGAATTTAATTTCCCCCTAAATTGGGTCTCCGCAAGTCTTTCCCATCCTAAGAAAGAGCTCCACCTTCCGCAGATTGGCTCAGGTCACTCACTTAGGAATCATTTCTCACTCCCTTCCCTTCCTACAGCTCCCCACCCAGTACATCCACAGGTCCTGACCATCCCATCCCCCACATTTCTTTCAGTCTGCAGCTCTGCTCCGGAGTGTAGACTTTGGAGTGCAATCAGTTAGCTTCACTGAACCAATATTTAAAGTTTGAAGGGTCAATATGAGGAAAGTTAAAAGGGGTTTAAAAATTGGAGAAGAGTGGTGCGAGTGATCGAGCTGATGAACAGATGCCTTGGAGTAAAGAAGCCAATCGAAGTGGCTGCCAATCATGACAAAATGGGAGGGTGACGGGAAGGGAACGCTGGGTGTGACTGAGGAGAGGGTCAGGGTGGGAGGAAGTGTGGCAGAGAGAGCTCTTTAGAATCAGATCCTTACAGGCAGGATTCCTTCTAAGATCTTGTTATACCCGAGGACGTTTTAACTTCTCATAAGACTGTAGTATCTTGAAAGATGAAAGGGCCTAGGATATTTTATGGAATATGTGATCACAGATTCACTTGGTAGTGGCAAAACCAAGCCACCCAGGGTGCTGTCAAAAATCCATGTATTTAACAATTTCCAGAGGCAGTTTCTTAAATGATGCAGGATAAATTCAGATCACCAGCAGGTTAGACTTAGAATGGGTTCCCTCTGGGCTGAGCGAGCATCCAAGAAGGAACGTACCGAGGTGGGGCCCTCACCAGCCGTCCCCTGGGATGCACTGCTCCCCGAGTCGTGGAGCTGACTCCCTAACCAACGAGTTTTCCCAAATATTCTTAACCTCCACACAGAACATAGTAAGAGGAATCACGCCTTCAACTGTTTACCGCCATCAACACATATTTATTGATGAGATAAGCTATGTTAGGTGTGACTTGGCAACAACGTAGCAGGCTGCCTGGCAAAAGGACAAATCAGACCGTGATTCTCAGCAGAATCACGGCAGGCGGTGAAAATTAGTTGTCAGTGCTAAGAGTAACGAACACATGTGCGTAATAATTTACAAATCGTGTCGTGTACAGGTAGCGTATTTGATGTGCACCACGGTCCTTGGCGGTGTTCGTTATCCTCTATTGTACAGGTGAGAAAACTGTGCTTGAAAGATTTCAGGGACTTTTCTAAGGTCACTGGTAAGTAGTCTTTCCCCAGATACGCTTCACTTCCTAAAGCTGCCAATAACAGTGCATTATGGAGGTGGGATGTTATGTGGACACCGTGGTTCCTGCCATTTTCAGTTAGTGCTGGAAGAACCGGAGAGGGACCCGGATTCCAACAGGAGGGTGCACTTCTACCACGGCTCCACCAGGTGGCAGTGGAGGCTACCACTAGAGACGAGCGTCTGTCCCTGTAGACACTTGGCTTTAAGTGGCCAAAGCAGGAGAGCGGGAAGAAGCAAAGCAAAGCTGTCTGTGCATGTGCATTTGCGTGCGTGCCTCTGTGTGTTTGCAGGGAAGAGGAACTAAAACCGGAATAGAACTGTGACTGCGCTCTGTGCCGTCTCTCGTGCTGCGGGTGAGGAGAACCAGACTGAAAGAAAGACCTTGCTGTTTGATGCGTCCATACCTTACCGTGTTCTCTTGGCCCCTGCCTGCAGCCCCACCCCTGGATTCTGGGTGATCAGTGAGGTATTATTACATGACGTCCAAAAACATCACTGCCACTCAGTGTAAGAGTGAATGTTCTCTCGAGAGGGAGGATGCATGAATTCAGGGCACCCCTGTCTCTGGCTGTGCCTACATGTTTGTCCTTCTCGCCAGTGGACACCATCTATTCACGGAGCAAGCAGCAGGCAGTATCCCAGGGGCCAAGGAGCTCAGGTAACGGGGGGGGGGGGGGGCGGGATCCGAGATACCTTTGATGCTTTCCTGCTCGGTACTAACAGCATTGCTACAGGTGAATTGCAAATGTTTGCCCCTGGGTAAAGAATGCATGTCCCCGACTAGAGCATTCCACGTCAGGAAATATACGTGTCTGGAAATGAGGAGTTGGAATCCATCTTTTCCACTGAATGATGTTTAGATGCTATCCTACGCCTTCTGAAAGTCAGGGGGGAAAAATGTCCTATTTGTCTGTGAATCTCTACCAACTCTGGGGATGCCCCCACCCCATTTGTAAAACCAGAGCTCCCATCAATTGGGAGGGTGTTGTGTTTGAGGAGACGCCTTCTCCAGTGGAGGCAGCTGCCCTTCTTCTGGTACTGGGGGTCGGTCAGATGCTTTCTGCCCACTCCTTGAAACGGTGAAGCGACTCATGCGAAGAGCTTCTTCGTACCCTGGGAGGGTGTCCAGGCAGGAGGGCAGCTGGCCCAGGGAGCTGTGCGAGTGAGCCACAGCCAGGATTCGTCGAGCCGCAGGGCCAAACACTGACTGCAGGGCTGGCGAGGGAAGGAGGAACGGAGCCCAAGTAAGAGTGGCATCTTCCGAAACCAGAGACTTACGACACACTTCATTCCCCTTCATTCTTAACCCATGTCCAAACTCATTGTCACCCTTGGCCACGGATGTTATGAAAATCCCGTGAAGCTGGTTTAGAAACCAGCTTCACTCTTTGCCAGCAGATCCCGGCTTCTCTGGCTCCCTCAAGTCATCTAGAGTGTGTTCCCCTGGCTCACAACCCTGTCCGCTCTCCTTTATGGATTTGGAACCCTTGACACCACCTGCTGAAGCTGCAGACTCCTTAGAAAGGGTCCTTTCTTCCCTACGGATCTTTTCTCCAAAATGACAGTGAGGAAGAGAAGTAGGAGAGGTGAGCTGTGACATGCTGTATTGTTGTCCTTGCAAAATACACATCACGGTGTCTTGTCACCTGCTGTTCTGCCTGGTACTTACCCTCCGATTTGAGGAAAGACTATAATCCAAAGACAAGAACCGAGGGAAATAAAGGAAAGTCATCAAGTGTCGTGGCTAATATTTAGTGTATGAGGATTGAAAATGCACACGACAAATTTTTCTCTAAGAAAAAAATAGTCTAGATAATAGAAAATGTAGGTTTCCACAAAATCTAAGACATTTTTGAAAACGGGATATGTTCAGAGCTTACAACAGTTTTATCAAAATATTTATAAGCTTGGTAATTCTTCCTCTACGACATTTCCAATATTGTCCCCAACATTTTGCGTCTTTCTTCACTCTGACATCAGACCAAAAACTGAGACTACAGCAGCTTGAGAGGCCAGGTCGCCGCACCCTCAGGCTTCTGGGAGTGAAGGCGACCCTGAGTTTCAGAACCTTTATCCGACCGGTGTTTTCACACCGCTGGACCATGCGGATGGTTCTTTTAAACTTGGGTTCACCTCCCGTGCTCTGGGTCCGTGTACTCACAGGTGATGGTGCTCTGGAGTGTGCTGTCGTGATCAAAGGCGATGACCGTGACTTCATAAGGGGGCCGGCCCGCCTCCTCCCCGGCCTGCGGGTGAGCCAGGCAGCAGCGGAAGCACGCGGAAGTCAGGCCGCACAGCAGGAGCAGCGCCCCGAGGACCACCAGCAACCTGCGTGGGGCCCACGCAGCAGTGAGGGCTCTGGGTGCTGGTCTGGTTCCCAGCTCTGCCTCATCGGTCTCCAATGCCTGCATCTCGATTCTTGTTTGGATAGTCTACAGAATGGCTGTAAGATTTGAATTCCCAGGACTTCACTGCACATACATACTTCCTTAATTTTGTCAGTAAGACCAGGTCAGCTCCCCGGAACAATTCCTGACAGATTGAATGTGGTTTGGGGACTGCTTTGGACTGAAGTAATCTCTCTGTGGTTATTTCTAGAGCTGACCCTGAGAAAGTACACAATAATCCGTTGATGTTGGCCCAGAAGATGGTATTGAAATAGGAAATCCTGGCATATTGTCACATAGGTTGGTGATGAGGTAAAGAAACTTTACTCCATGAGATGCTAGGTAAGTAGGCTGGCTGGCTCAGACTTTTTCTCCCCCCTGCTGTCAATCTATCTAAACACTAAAAAAACTTAAGAAAAAAATATCCCTGAGGAAAATAAAGTCCTTTCTAAATGTCTTTCTGGGTAATGTAGCTGAAACTTACCATATATACCAGAGATGCACCCAATCTGTGGTCAGGCAACTATGGAGAAAGAATAAGGTTTTTTGACAATAAAAATATAGTCAATGCCTATTATAATTCCAGAATCAGAAATATGAGCTACGATAAAATGATACTGTGTTATAATAAAAGAAATGCAGTGTAACTGAATCACTGTGCTGTACACCAGAAATGAATACATTGTGAATTTAAAAAAAAAATCTAACATAAATAAAGTCACAAAATCCTGAAAAAAAAAAAAAAGCTTCGCAGGTTACAGTAACTTCAGTGTAACCAGCTGAATCTGTTTGAAAATGGGATGATTTATACCACGGATTAAACTACTGATCATGAAAATAACGCCAATAGAAAATGTAACCATGACCAAAACCGACCAGTTTTGATGACAATTACCAAGAAAGAACTTGCAATGCAACTTTACACAGAGTGAAAATGAATGTGAAAGTTAAGATCTGGATATATTTGAGGTCATCCAAATGTAAATATAAAGAAAATTTCAGTTACAATCATGAAAGCAGTACAATGAAGCTTGGTAACGTTTTGCAAGTTGTCGCATAAAGGACCACCGTAAAACCATAAAACCTCCCACCTTAAAAGAGAGCTTTAAATTTTCACATCCATGATCGACACTGACAGGCTTATCTACTGAGGCCAAACGAGAAGGGGGACAAAGTGGAGAAACCAACTTCATCACGAGGAAAGCTAATTGAATATTCCGAATGAACTAGGGCAAGGGTCAATTTTCTCTATAGGATTAAAACATATGGATATTATGGGAGAAGGAGTGTGTGATGGGTTCAGGAGTGTGAAGGGGAGAAGGGAAATATTTGTCTTTGAAGATGAGTGCATTTTTATAAACAATTCATCTTTTTAAAAATACTAATTTTTTAACAGAAGTCCTGGGGATTGAACCCAGGACCTCGTACACGCTAAGCACGCATTCTACCACTGAGCTAGACCTTCCCTCTGAAGATGAGTGCATTGAATAATCCTTTCTGATATAATAATCTGGTGAAACCTACTGAAATTTTTGGACAGTTGTAGGCCGTAGAGTCTGCTTTTTGACTGAACAATGTCTTCTCTAGGTTTTCTCACATTCCCCGTTTGTTCAAAGCCCTGTCTAGTTCTACAGTGTCACGATTCTGACTCTATTAAAAATAACTCTTCCTGTGGTGGTAGGTGTCTAAAGCCTCAGAGAGCAGGTGACGGGTCACCCGGGCCATCACCGTTTCCCCTGGATGTAGCAGACCTGCCTGCTGGGAAAGTCTTCCCAGATGTGTTTTCCTCCACCCTAAACAAGTCTTTTTTTTTCAACTGTCCCTGCTTTTTAAAATAGCTTACCTCCAAGAGGAGTGGGTCTCTTCTCTTTTAACCTTTATGTCTTCCATGTCTACATAGGACCTAGTTGTGATAGCATTAGATTAAGGGGTAACCACCTCCAAGTGATAACTAAAAGCTAAATGAAGTCTGCAATAAATATTAACAGGCCCCCCAAATAGGAAGCACTTTTCAGATTTGAAGCAGTGGTGCCACCTTGGCAACCACCCAAATACATCTGCCTGTGGTGAGTGAATCCAGTCAGTCTCGGTGAGTCACTGAGAAGCGTGGGGAAGGAAATCTGCGAACCTCCTTGACCATATAAGCGGATGAAGTCTGCTGCTTTGATAGGAAGATTGGCTTTGGGGGAAAAATGCCGTCAGCGGTGTTATTTTGAGTACTCACGGTGACACAGATGCATGTCTGTGAGGTGATGGGTTGATGCCCATTTCAGTAGAAAGAAGGGAAGTCACAGACCTCTGATGACATTTTGACCCTGTCTTGGGTGTTGATATTTTTTTGCCTGTCTGGCCTTTCTCCCCGTGTGGACTCCCAGATACTTACTGTTCAGGATTGACACAGTTCTCCTCACATCTCGCCCGAGGAAGCTGTGGGAAGGGAAACAGAATCAGACAGGGAAATGGTCTCAGCTGCTCTGCTCAGCAGCCTCTGAGTCGTCCCGCGTGACCGTGCTGTTAGGTCGGAGGTGACAGCAGGGCAAGGACACGGTCATGGGGTCAGTCGTGTTTAGGACGGGTTTCATCTCCCCCGAGCCTGTTCTTTGTTCTGTGTGAAGTGGGAGCACCTGGGAGAGCAAATATCTCACCTGGTTTTTGGTTTTTGTTTTGGTGGTGGGTGGGCGTCCCTGCCTTCGTGAGTGAGAGGCAATGTTTGTATCAAGGTGTTTGTCCTAGAAGCTTTCTGATCTATCCCTTAGGATATCGCTGTTGCCTTCCTAATCCTCCACCAGTTACAGACTGAATTCTACCCTCAGGATGTCAGAGTCACTGTGCAAGAGAAGAAGGGGGAAAAGGGTCGGGAAAAACTTATTTCTTGAATAGCAACTCTATGCCAGTCAGACTGCTAAGAGTTTTTAAGATTTCATAGCATTTCATCACAATAACCTTGCAGGTAGGTATAGGTAACTTTATTTTGAGACGTTAAGGGACTAAGGCATAGATAAATAACATGACCAACTGCACACACTTATTGATTTGGGCAGAATTCAAATCACATTCTATTTTATATATATATATATGTGTGTGTGTGTGTGTGTGTGTATTGAAAGAATTAGCAGAACCAGGAATAAATCTGTTCTAACAACTCCTTGACATTCCTATCAAGTCCTTTCTACTCCTAGTAAAGGAAACTCTCACGCCTCTACTTTATATTTCAGTTGACTTTCTCCTTCAAAACCCACTCTAGGTAAACTTGTGTTCTAGAAACTGTTTCTCTCTCCCAATAACTTCAATGACTTGCTACTTCAGGAAATCAACAAAAAAAGGCCACAAAGTTCCTCTAAAAAGAGACAGAGATGTGAATTTATTGGGAATGAGGGTTGGGGGGCAGGGGACACACCTACGCGCATGATACAGGCTATGAAAAGACTTGTAAAAGGGCTAACGGGTGATCTCTGCAGGTGACATTCGCGAAACTCCTGGGTTTGGTTTTAATTTAACATCGTTGGCCACTAAGGATGACAAAGTGTGTGTTTCCTCAACCCACCCCCTGGTACTTTGTTTTGCTTTCTTGACTAAAGATTTAAAAAAATAAAATAAAATAAAAAAAAGGCCTAAACTGCTCAGCAGATAAAATGCCTCTTTTCAGGCCTGTTGTGAAAAGAGAAGAGATGAGAAAGGAAGGGAAGAGAAAGACAAGGAAGAGAAGAGGAAGCAAAAGGAAATTACAAGAAGAAGATATGTTTTCAGACACTCATGGAACTGGTTTACAGGTAGCCAAACAACCCACTGCCTGGCAGGTGCTGTGCACGAATCTGAAACCAGCTCATTTCTTCATTTGCTTTCCTTCTTAGCAGATTTCAGAACTGTGTACATTTCTGCTGAAAATGATCCAGAGCCCCTCAGTCCAAGGACCGATTCTCAGTTCATGAGTTACCCAGGATCTTCTGATTTTTAGTGGGGAGAAATAAAAGGCCCAACGTAGTTTTCAAGAGTTTTCTCTCTTAAGTTATCTCTGATCCAGAGGCACTGAAACCTCCAGAGCAGTATTAGGGCTGATGAGGGAAAAGCACTGTGGAGGGGAATTATGCAGTCAGCTTTCCTAATATACTTGGGATTGGCAGGGGTAGGTGATAACGATGCTAAAAGACAGAAATGTACACGAGGCTTTTCTGAACTGCCATCACTGCTCTGTTTGTGCATCTACCCCTGCTTCACTGATGTCACTGGTCACACATGCAGTGGGTAACCCTGGAACACTAAGGAGACATTCCATCCACTCATTGCCCCACCACCCCTCCGATTTTACATATATCTTTTCCCTTCATTCATTTCCCCTCAGATTCTTCGAGAATTGATTTATGTGACAAACAAAGG